TGAAGGGAAACTGTCTCCAAATATCAATAAGAGAGTTGCTTTTGCAAAATCTTGTAATTGTTTGATTAAATTTATGGTCAAGATATTTTGTAGGGAATCTATCATACCATTCATCGGGAGCACAATTGAAATCTCCTATCAATACAATACAAATACAATCCGTTGGATATTTTAATTTGAACTCCTTAATAACCTCAGAAATTCTTTCTAATAACAGTTTGTTTTTACCCTGTCCACTATATCAATAAACATTTACTAGAACAAAAGCAAGACCATCAATATTCAATACCACAGCAATCCAGTGTCCTTCTGAGTCTTTTTCTACTTCCAAAACATGTGCTGGGCAGTTGTTCATGCAAATGGCCACTCCAGCAGATTTGTTAGTTCCATGGCTCAATGAGATTGTGTCCCCCCATTGATTCCTCCAAAAAGATGTGTCTTCTTCACTTGAATGAGTTTCTTGCAAAAAAAAAAACACATTGTGCCTTTAGTCCCTTGCAAAATAAAAAGATAGCTTTTCTTTTGGTGCTATCCTTGAGTCCCCTTGTGTTTAATGATATAAAGAACATTTGTGACTGAAATTGTTCATACAACTTAACCGAAAAGTTTAAACAAATAGGCTAGTGTAACTTGCCTTGATAAAATATATATTGGACCCTCTTACTAAACGTTTTGTCTGTCATCTTTGTGAAATTCTCCTGCTGGTATCCTGAAGCAGTTTATGCAAATATTTGTATATCCTCAATGAAGCTGAGCGGTCCACGAAAGTACGCTCTTTTTTTCTGATCCCATGCCTCCTTGATTCTTGGCCACAGCTTCTCTCTAGCAGCTTTTATCCTCCTTTGTTAAATCTTCAGCAAATCTGATACCGGCCTGTTTGCACACATCACAGTCTTTGGATAGCCTCCATATCTGATTTCTACATTCTTTTTTCACAAACTGGATGATTACTTGCCTTGGATGATTTTGCTCTTTTTTCCCCAGGCGGTGGACGGAGTCCACCATGTCATCCATATTCCATGCCACTCTTGGAGCAAACCATGGAGTGAAGTGGGATTACCACTGCTCTGGTATCTTCATTTTCTTTTTCTTCCAATCCTTTCACTTGAAGATTCCATCTTCTTTTGTATCTTTCCTGTTCCTCACATCTCAACTTGATTGTTTTCACTTCTTCCTCCAGCATGCAAACTTGCTTTTCGAGCTCAGCCATTCATTTCTGGTAATTAGCTACTTCTTCACGGAGAAAAGCCACCTGACTAGTATTTTCCTCCATTTTATTATTAAGTTCTTCCATTTTTCTTTCTTGGGTGTTGAATCTGTCAGCCAACTTATTAACCGCTTCTAGAATCTTGTTGGTAGCAGCTTCTACCTGCAGGTCTCTGTCTTCTGCGGCTTTATTTTTCTTTGTAGCTGCAATCTTTTCAGGGGTGGATGTTGGCGCACCACGCTAGTTCATGTCGGGTTTCTCTTTTCTTGCTAGCATGTAGTTATGATCCGATTCGGCCATAAACAGTGTCGAATAACCCGGTTTTTAAATTCACACAGAATTCTGAATTTATATTCTTCGTTGTTGTTTTTTTTTTTTGTAGAGTTCACACTAAACTGCGTTTTTAACTTACTTTTGAGGGACCGAATTAGGAGGTCCGAAAAAACGTTGCTGCTATCTTACCAGTATCTTAGCTGTTCCTAGGACTGCACTCTTCTGGACAGAGACCTCTGATGTTTTACCTGGAATCTGCTGTAGCCACTCTCCTAGTTTGGGGGTCACAGCCCCCAGTGCTCCAATTACCACTGGCACCACTGCTGCTCTTACTTTCCACATCTTTTCTAGCTCCTCCTTCAGCCCTTGGTATTTCTCAAGCTTCTCGTGTTCTTTCTTCTTGATGATATATATTTATATCTA